CCCTGCTTGGTGAGATAAATCCGGCTACCCCAGCTTATAGGGGAAAGTATAATCCTGTCTTACCTGCACACAAATCGCGACCCTATACGGGAACAGCGTCGGGCATATCCCTCCCCCTCCTTCCCTCACTTAAATAAGTAAATAAGGTGTGTGACTAAGGTGTATTTCATGTGTTGTAATCACTCCTTTTGAACCTCCTGCCCCAAATTGCTTTGTTTTCCCCACAATAAACCGTGCATTTCTTTAGAAATATTAGTAAGCACTGAGCAAGTTATTCACTCGAAAAAGTCAGGGCATAAGCCCCTGTCTCCTCTGTGTGAGGCAATACCCATGTGGATCTCTCAGCAAATCCTGATAAGTTAATACACTCCAATAAGGAGATATAATAGGTCACAGATCGTGACACGTGGTTTACACTGGGATCAGAAAAATCCATCTAGTTATCTATGAAATAGTGTTTGAAATCTCTTCAGACAGTCTGCTTATATAAAATCTGCCTGCCATTCAGAAACTGGCCTGAAACTCCTACCTGCATAACACAAAGACTTGGGTTCACATTACCTGCTTAAAACATAATGCTGTGGCTTCCAAGTCCCTTTCCTCAGTCCCTGAATTACCAGGAGCTTTATCAGAATCAGGATCCTGCTTTTTCCGTTTGCAAGAGTCCCGGCGATGCGGCGCTGGCGCCGGAGCTGAAGAGTGTGATGGTGCACGTTTATTCATATGCTGTCTCTTCTTGGAAAGCTCCTTATACTCTTCTTCATACGCCTCTTCCCAGGTCCTAGAAGTTGTATTTGTCTTCTTAGTGGAAGGCCTGTTGTCACGTGCAGTCCTTGTAGAGGTGTCAGGTGGCATTTTTGGAATTCTGTCATCTTCACTCTGTTTTTTTGATCCATCTGACTTTCTACGTGGCACATGTAAATCATATACAGGTGACTTAAACTTTTCCAACATAGCTTGTTCCGCCTTTAGCTTGCAGAGTTCAGCTTTCTCCTTCTTTTTCTTCAGTGCCTTGTCCCTCTGAACTGCAAAGCTATGCAAGACTCTTTTGCTTTCTGTTCCTTCAAAACAACTTTTGCTCCTGCTAGTAGCTGCTACATCAGGAGTGCGTGTACTTTTCCCATGTTTAATTTCTTTGGCTTTAAATTCGATAACTATTTTCTTTTGCTTTTCAGTTTGGATTAAAAAATTGTCCCTAGTTTTGCTTCTATTTGGAGATTTTTCTTGGGATCTTCTATAAGTGTCATGAGAACTATTAGAACTTCGGTCTCGCTTCTTCTCTCGTCCATCTTTCTCTATTTTGAATCTACAGAAACATTACCAAAAAAGTGATGTAATCTACCTCAGTTAATGTAAAAGAAAAATAAAACAAACAAGAAAGTCTGCACTTGATTTAGGCAGTTACAGTTAAGGTTATTTCTGGGTATCAGTTTGGTATGTTCTTAAATATGAACCTGCAGCAACATCTGTCCTTTAAAATAGCTTGATATAGCACTTTCAGTATTTACATTTTTCCTTTCTTAGCTTGCAAAATTGGGGAAAAGCTTTTTCTGCATTCACTACCTACTGGTTTGAGAGACACCCTGCAAAGCCAGGTGTCATCTTATCACACAGGTATGTTTTCACAGCAGTTTAATGATATATGAGGTGCATCCCCCCGTAAATCCAAGTGGTCGCACCACCCAGCTTCCAAACAGTGCAGGACCAACAGGCTTCAGGAATGGCTTAACCCTTCTGCCATGGCTGAGAAACAACCCTAACTTTTCCATCTCAGAATTCAGGAGAACATTCTCACTTTGTATAGTTTTCAAACTCTGTTTACATTTGCTACACTCAAGGTGAAAGATTGATTTCTTTCCCTTGGAATCCACTGCTTCAAGCATCAGGAGAAGCCAATTATTTCAGGACCACAGGAATCAATTAAAGGGACTAAGTTCAACTGTGAACTATCCTCCTGATGTCACCAGAGCCTTTTTTTATGCTAACAAAATGTGTAATATGTAACACAGACCAAATAGGTAGAGGTCAAGACAAAAAAAGAAAAGATCTTTTCATGACAGCAGTGTTGGAGCGATGCAATTCCTACCTTATCTGGAGTGTAGCTGCACACATCAAGAGTTAAATTCTGAACCCTGTCTTCTCAACTATCTCAAACTGCCCATCTTAGACAGAATCCACACACTGATGCAATGCTAGCACTTCAGTTAAAATAGCACATTTTATTTGGTGAACAAGTTGAAGAAAATTCTTAAATTCAGTATTAAAAAATGTTAGTGATTATGTTATTTTAAGTAGCACCATATAATTACAGAGCAAGAATCTACCTCTTAAATTCTTTCTCTCCTTTCATGGCACGGTTGCAAGATCTTGTGTCTTCAGAGTTCTGAAAGAAGAAAAAAATCCAAGTTTATAATGGAAACTGCAGTTATAAAAACCCCTTCATAACAGGGAAAAAGCTTTTATTTCATATTAGAATCACTATGACTGAATAAGTTAACCTTGAAAAAGGCAGTCACATACCCTGCTATAATTTAGTATTTAGATTTTACTGTATTTCAGAATAATACAAAGGGAAAAAATGAATGTGCTACACAGTCCTGAGTTATAAATTGAGAAAGCTCAATACCTTAAATACATTGAAGATTCACATCTTCTGTATACTCTACATCAACATGCAAAATATATTTTATATTTTTGTGTATTTAGAAAAATTCTTAGGGAAAAGAAAGTTACCTGAAGGCTGCTTCCAGCTACTGCCTAGCTAAGGCCAAAGAGAGAACATTTCTGTGGGAGTTTCTTGTGCAGAAGAGATGTATTATTCTCAGCAGATTTACTTACTAGGTGGCACAGTGTGAAACTGCAGTGACATATGCCCAGTTACAAGTAAAGACAGTGCCCAAACAGGGAACTTGAACAGCCCTTGTTAAGAAAGCAGCTATATCACTGCTTGGCATATATACATCGTAAGCTGTGTTGTGTTCATGCTGTAGAATCACTGGAAGACAACTCTGACCAGGTCAGAACAGAAAGCAGTTTATTATTGCAGCAACACGACAGACACAGCTGAGAGGAAACTCTGCTCAATGAAGCAGTTCATTTTTATTTACCTTTGGGTTATACGCTTGGTTTTCCCAAAGCTACAGCAGGGTGCAGGAAATCACAACAGAGAACAGTAACACATGGATTGCTTCAGATCAGGAAGCTCCATACAGAGCATCCTTTTACAAACAGATCACTCCTTCACTAATCAGGTCTTGCTAGCTCAGTCAGGCTGTCAGGTCTCTGCTGCAGAGACTTCCATCAGGAGAGAGGCCTGCAGAGGCCTATCAGGCCTCAGCTATTCTACTTCCACATTAGAAAGAACTCTGTCTAAAAATAAAAGGGTTGCAGAGACCCTTGGAGTCCTAACGAACTAAGGAAGTCTTGAGAACTTCTGCCTGTGGTTGGTTCTGGAGTCACAACAGCAGGAAAACCAACAAAGTTGTAACTTAGGAGGCTGTTAAAGGCTGCTGCCCAAGTCATATCATTGCAACTCGCTGCAGGGAGACCTGTCCAACCCACATTATTATAATAAAATAGGAATCAAAGTGTTTTATTGGCTTATTGTTTCCTCAATTAACCGACAATCAGTGAACTACACGCTCAGCATCCAGACCAGCAATGCAACAGAAAAGCTGTAATAACAGACAACTTCTGGCAGCATCAAGCCCAGTTTGACAGCTGCTCAGCTGCTGATTTCTCTCTTGAAGGCCTGTTTCCCAAGAACCACAAGTTTTCATGGTATTTTCAATACTCCTTGCCAAACTAGCTCCTTCTTTTCTCAAAAGTCTCTCAGTAATTCCTGGATTTTCACTTTGGTCATCTTCAGCCAAGTGTCTTACTGTTACTTTCCTCTTGGTGTTATCTGTTTAGGGTAAATGCCCTCTTGGAGCTGACTGGTTTACATGTTCTGTTTACAATTCCTCCCAACAGCCTAGTACCTCTGTACTTGGGTTGTGGCCCAAAGGGAGACAACACCATAATTCCAAAATATAGCAAGTTCTGGGACAGCACAACTGGCAGGAAGTACAAGAGTATTTCATCCTTCAAGTTGGGCCAAAATGGAAAAGTACCTGGCAAAAATCAATTCTCTCTGATCCTATGAATAGCATTTCTAAGCATGACCCTTTGAGGTCTCTCAGATCACAGCTGGCTGTGACCAGAATCTCCCCTAAGCTGGGGCACCTCTCAGGCATAGACTCCTCGAGGCCTCTCTGCCAACAAAGCAGATGGAAACCCTCTTGGAGTCTCCTCCTGGCATCTCCATTATCACCCACAGAGGAATGCCCATGCATTCATTGTATTTCCTCCAAACTCCACAGGAGAGAAATTCTAACTGTAGGCTGGTCTCTTCCCTCCACCTCTCTACCTACCCATGTGTTTGAATAGGCAATTTGACCCCAGGAGAGTGGGTGTTTATTTCACTGGATCCAAATGTTTTGTGTTTATACATATGCATATATATCTTTCTTTACAATGTCTTGCATTAAGCTTGTGTAAATCTTGTCGTTCTCAAACTTGTAATTAAGTCTCTGTCTTAATTATTACATATTCTACTGAATCACTTGTTATTATTTAAATTGGTTACTCATCAAGTGCTGCCAAAATTTAACCTTTTGATTTGCCCTATGCCATTAATAAATCTTGAATTGCTGCTAACAAAAACTTTAAAAACTTTAAAACCTTATCCTTCAAGCTGGCACAGGCTTTAGCAACACAGCCACAGTATGAGGCTTTAAACTACCTTTTTAGCCTTTTGTGAAGTGAAAAAACACCTCCTAGGATTAAGTTAACGTTAAAAGACAAATTGAACAATAAGGAATTCAGGAGAAAAAAACAGTTACAGAAATTTGGCTTTGAATAACACCTTCTACATGAGCAAAAGGCTTTTAACACATACAACTCAGTTTACAAGGCCATCATACTATGCTCTTTTATAAACATTTCCAAACCTTTTTGAGACATTTATGATAAGACAGTTAAAAGCTCTCTTATTTCATATATATCTTAGAAAATCCAAGCAAAAAACAATCTTAAATGGGTATTTATTAAACTACTGGTTTATGGGACAGGTAATATACAACTGGTAGAAAGTAACTTACCAGAAGAGAATACTAACAACAGAAAAGAATGGGACAGTAAACACACAAGCACGACGAGAAAAATGATCATCCCTGCTGCAACTGCCTTCTACAAGTGATGCCATGAAAGCTTACTCAGTAGATACAAATATGTGCCAGAGTATGCTAAGAATTTTGGTCACTGATTTATGTCTCAGTGGTTAAAAGGAAATATTTGTGACTTCCTTGCTAAAATGCTGTTAAGGTGCTTAAACAGAAAATTAAGACGCATGATCCAAGATAAAAAGCAATCAATAAAAGCAGTAGTGGCTTTGTTTAGCAGTTTTAAGCTCAATCTTGCTCACCCAGGAAGATATACTAAAAAAAAAAACAAAACCCAAAACCTCTTATTTTCTGATACCCACACTACTCACAGCCTCTGCAAAAAAACATAAGGTAGTTATCTGGCTAGAACTTGCAGTTATCTGACCAATCCTGCTGTTCTTAATGACCCCACTTTAAACATGATTCATCCTTCTACCACAAGACTGCTAAGCAGTTCAAGCTCTTCTCTCGAACAGGGGAACTAAATGAAAACAATGATAACAGCAACAATACAGCTGCTCCTACTTTGTCATCCCGGTCATCCAAACAGTCTTCTCTGCCAGTTAATTTCTTCAGCTTCTTTTTAGACATCTTCAACTCCTGAGAAAAACAAACAAACAAACAGTGTTCGAAGTTCTTGTTTCCAGCTGGTATTAAAAGTAAATTTAACTGCAAATAAATTTAACTGCACAGAGAAAAAAAATACTCTCATAGTCTTCTTATGTTTCCTCATGACAGCACCACGGCAGCTTTCAATGATTCACGTGTCATTATTACAAAAACGGCACAGGAAAAAACAGGATGGCATCACCACCTGCTCCAGCCAACACAGCAGACGAACGGAGACAAACACCCTTCAGCATTTAGCCACGCAACCACCACGATTTAGAGCAGTTCCAAACAGGTAAGTCTCGCCTTCCCCCCCGGGGTACCGAGGCAGGGGGGTCATATCGTGACATCTCGCAACAGCTACACCGCTGCGGGCGGGGTGAGGCTCGAGAGGGCGGTCAGAAAGCTTCCCCACAAGCTCCCAACGGCGAATTCCCAGCGCACGAGTCACCTACCGACGGGCAGCAGCAGCAGCTCAGCCATCAAGCAGGGGGAGAAGCGATCCCGGGATCAGCCCTCGGAGCTGCAGGGCCCGGGTGTGAGGGAAGGGCGGGCCCGGGTGTGAGGGAAGGG